GTGTCGGCCTGTTACGTGGCGTACGCAGAGAACCGACAGGCTGGGGATTTGGGCTCGGCCATAGATGAGCGGATCAGGGAGCTGGAGCCATCATTAAATTGAGTCCGAACCCATCAAATTAATTGATCGCACGAGAACTGTAATGTACTCTTTATTATAGTTTTCTACCGTATCGGGTATAAACTACATCGTTCATACCGTCGAAGTGCGTAGTTAGATAGTACGGTTAAGCGCATCCATTGGTATTTGAGGATTGAAGTTTATAATGTACTCTTTTAATTGTAAAAGTTTAGGCGTTGTCTTGTACAGAATATGGATATGTGGTATATAAAGGTGAATACGAAAGTTTGCATTTACAATATAAGGATTTTTTTGATATTAAATTCATATTTTGAAATTAGTCCCTCTCCCGGTCTCCCTCCTCCTCCCCGGTTTTTCAGTTATTTTGAATAGAAGAATTTTTCAAAACAGACCCATTTCAATTTTTTTTTCTTAAAACCGACCCGTTTTTTTTTATTTATCAAAACCGACCCGATTTTGTAATTAGCAGCTTAATCACTATCCTAAACAGTCGGGGTTGGCAACCCCGACTATTTAGGAAGGTGTTAAACCCTAATTAGAAGCCTTAAACCCTAAAAATTAAGGTCCTAAATAGTCGGGGTTGCCAACCCCGACTGTTTAGGAAGGTGATTAAGCTGTTAATTACAAAATCGGGTCGGTTTTGATAAATAAAAAAAAAACGGGTCGGTTTTAAGAAAAAAAATTTGGAGTGGGTCTGTTTTGAAAAATTCTTCTTTTGAATATCCTTCAAACTATTAAATTTATGTCGGACTATCCAACCCTTAGGCCACATTTGGTAGAGGGTTAAAGAAGAGAGATTAAGAAGAAGGATTTACATAGTTAACCTACTTGATTTACATAGGAGTATTAGTAAACCCCTTCTTTTGAGGGGTTAATTCATTTTAATCCCTCTAGAGGCGTTAGCTTAACCTTTCTATATTTTTTATGTTTGGCAAATTATAAAAGGTTAACTCAATTTAACCCTTTTATAGATTTTTTGTGTTTGGCGGGTTAAAAAGGAGTTAAGTCTCCTTAACCCTTTGCCAAACGGTACCTTAAATTATTTTGAAACGAGTCCCTAAAATTACATCAAATCCTTAAGTAATCTTGAAACTGGTCCCTCAAATCATTCAAACTTTGAGATCAACCCCTCCAAATAAGAGTAAAAGAAACAATTAAGGGAGTTAATTTGAAATGACTTCTGATAATTTAGCAATGTAATCGCAATTTCTATAATGTGATGGACTAATTTGAAAATAATTCAAGAATCGGATATGTCAAAATATGAAAAGATTTAGGGGCCATATGTCGGGCGGAAAAAAGATCCCTATTTGCGATATAGAACTTCACGACGAGAGAAGTTCTCCGAGAAGTAAAGGTATTTTAATCATTACACCATCACCAAAACTCGACCATAAAGGATCAAAACAATTAAAAAGTAGAACGAACACCGTCTTCAGCTAGCCTTTTAAAAAACATAGAAATCTTTTTATCAACATAAATCTCAATATTAATCACCATGCATTATTTATAGATGTCGTCCTCCTCAAGCTTGAATATCTTCCCGAGCACCATTTCCGCCCCTTCGAGTGCCGCAACCACCACCTCCTCCTCCTTTGTCGCCGTCTTATGCTCAGAAGACGGGTAGTATTCTTCTTCCTCGGGAAAAAGAGTCTTGAAGGCAAAGTGGTCGAAGAGGAAGTAGCCCGGACGTACCCAACATTGAGAAAATTTTAGGTATCCAACAAAACCTCTGTTTGCAAGGAGCTGAGTGTTTTGAGTTTTACCCAGATATGGCTCTCGAGTCCGAATTCTAATTTCTAATTCCGATAATATGTGGGTCATTAAGTTAATTTGTTAGTAAATAAAGTTTTCTCCGGAAATTTATCCAATAAATTCAAAATTTACGTTAATGTAATGAAAGCATCTTTCACCTCATGTTGCTTTTAATAGGGTCATCTACCCCTAATCATAACTTTCAAAGCATCAGAAAACTCCCATCAAGTTAGGGATTAATAGAAAACCGTCTTCAATTTTAAGATTTTACCAGAAAATCCCTCAAATAGTGTTAACCGCAAATTTCACACGGGTATGTAAACTTAAGCGGTAGGGGGTTGGGGATATTTTTGCTGGCGATAAATTTTTAGCAATGATGACGATAAAGAATCACTCTTCTGAGACATACAATACTTTAAGATGCCTAGAATTCCAACAATAAACCATACACTTTTATTCTATCAAGAAAAACATAAACACTTTTATTTCCAATATGATAATTCTTGAGGCTACACACCGCGTAAATTAAACTTTCTTTTATCTAACCACATAAGTAAAGTTGATAAAAAAAAGAAGGAATCAAAACTGAAAATTTTGAATACCATTTTTTTTATCGACATTAACTTCACTAGGGATCATGATGCAATATCGCTCTCCTCCTCCTCCTCGAGCTTGAATATCTTTGGAGTTCCATGGCTTCAAGCATCGCCTCTGCCTTCGCCTTCTCTTCTGAAAACGCTACCTCCTTTGCCTGCTTCTCAGCCGCCGCCTCCTTCTTCTGTTCATTATAAGAGTAAAGTTTTTGTTCTTTATGCATAACAAACATAAGGTTAACGTCAAATTGTTCGATCGGCACCCCTGTCATCGACGTCGAGAAAGGATGGTAGTATTGTGAATAATAGAGACCAGAGCTAATG